TGACCCATCCACCACCACTCTCTGGGTGCGGCCCTCTGGCCAGTTAGTGACCCATTTGACTGTGTAGGTGTTGACACCACAGTCCCCCAGTTTTTTAATGAGAATGGAGGGAGAGACAGTGTCAAAGGCCTTCCGAAAGTCCAGAAAGACTATGTCTACTGCTATCCTTATATCTAAGGATTTGATGACTTGGTCATAGAAGGCCACCAGGTGGAGTGACAGGACCTGCCTCTAATGAACCCATGTTGGTTGCCCCTAAGCATAATCTCCCCTGCTGGCCCCTCATGGACATGTGCCAGGATAATTCTCTCAAAAAGCTTACCCAGGATCGAGGTAAGACTAACTGGCCTATAGTTCCCCAGGTCCTCCTTCCTTCCTTTTTTGAAGATGGGAACCATGTTGGCCCTCTTCCAGTCCTCTGGCACCACACCAGAGCATCATGAGTTAGAAAATGCCAAATCATTTTTTTGCCACTGAAGTCTGCAGAGAGAGGCATACCACTTTTTTATTGTGCTTCACACTCCAGTCATTTGTATTGTAGCGTCATATGTCCCTTCTCTTCCTCTGTCCTTTGTGTACTCTCATTTGCTCCAGAGCTACCCATAAATACGATTTTACATTTTCTGGGCAAGAACAAAACCTTACGTCAGCATCAGATATCACTGGAGCTGGGTATGCAGTGTTCAGTATCAAGCAGCATGAATGCTGTGTGGTTTAGCAGGCGAGTGATGATGAGTCATGGGGTGAGCAGCATAACTAGGGCACAGCAAGCTGGGCACTGACCCCCTCAGCTTTAGAGAGGACGGGTGCCAAGGCTGATGGTCGCACCCCCACTCCTTAGCATCTCTGCACCAAAAGTGGCAGTTACATGCCTGCAGAGGACTACTCTGCTTTTCCTCTCTGTTTTGGGGGGTTTCTTCCATCCCTTTAGTGCAGGCCGGGCAAACACAGCATCCCCTTTGCCCTGGGACAGGTTCCTCGGGCCAGTGGGGTGCAATATGGGCAGGACAGCCTGGTCACACACAGCTCAGCTCCCCCACAGCGCTCGGGATATGGGACAGCTCCTGGGCCTTTTCCCGCGCTTAGACCACCGAGGGCATTGGGGGGAGGGGTATGCAAATTTCCTCCCGCCTCCGCCAATCCGCATCTGTGGGTAGAGCCCATCTCCAGGAATCGACGCTGAAGGGGCAGGAGGAGCAGTAACGAGTCCAGAACCGCTCCCCTCTGCACAACCAATCAGAGCGTCAGGGAGCCCGACCAATCAGGAACCCTCTTTCTCTTTGTGACTGAAAGGAGTGAGCTGGCGGGCGGGTTGGCAGGGGCAGCCAATTGTGAGACGGGAAGGGGGCGTGGCCTGGTCCGGCGAGGCCACGCCCCCAGTTGACCCGGCCGGCAAGCTGGGCTGCGAGCGGCGTGGGGGGCGCTGTGGCGCATGCGCAATGCTGATCACGCTGTGCTACCTCTATCTGTGGGCGCGCTGGGGGGCCCGGCCGGCCGGGCTGATCCGCCGCACTGTGCGCCGCCTCTACCGCACCCGCTGCTCCTTCACCTTCTGCGGCTGCGGCGGCGCCGCCTTCCCCCCGGCCCCGCCCCGGCGGCAGCTGAGGCAAGGGCCGGCCGAGGAGCGGGTCTGCCTGCGCATCGGGACCAAGGTCTTCTTCACTGGCGAGGCCCAGGTACCCGCCCGTGCTGCGCCCCTGCCCCTCCCCCGCGGGAGGCGGGCCCCAGGGTTCCACCCCTCCCCTCAACCGTTCCCTCACCTGCCCGTCACCCCCCAGGGGTGTCCTGTAGGGGGGTCTAGGTTGTGCAGTTGCATCCCCTCTGCCTTCTCCACCCAGTGTTTAAAGCTAGATGCTAGGTCTTAAATATGAAATTATGGCATTGGAAGCTCAGATTGCTGGTATTTACTGAAAAAGTGTCGTCCATGGAAACAAAATACGTAAATAAAAATGCCAGTAATCTTTATTTACAGTGGCTCCCTGTCTCTGACAGATTGCACACCACCCATTTAAAATAATACGACCTTAAGTACCACCAGCAAATGTTTCAGTTCAACCTTAAGTACCACTGGCAAGTTTTTGTCATAAAAAATAATTATTATAATATATTGATTACATATTAATTATAATAAATCTGTTAACGCGTGTCACTGACAGGTTGTCTGCATACCACTGGTGGTATGTACGCCACTGATTGGGAACTGCTGCTTTATAGGAATACAGAACTCTAAAACTTTTGGTTCAGAGGTGATATCTTTTATTAGACCAACTAGAAAGCAGCAAAAAAATTATCTTTCTTTGCAAGCTTTCAGGCACGCCTGCCCTTCTTCAGGCTGAGGAGAAATCCAAGATTGTAAAAGTCCCCATAGGTAGAAAATAAACATCACTGTGTACAGACGAAGGTGAAGGTGGATGTCTGTTCCTCTGGGTCCATGAGAGTCCTTTTAGGGGAGATGCTCTTTGATGTGCAGATGACGCAGTTTCTCTTCCCGAGTGGTGTCAGATGGTAGAAAGGCAGGGAAGTGTAGACATCTTTCTTGTTTAGCAGTGAAGTTTATAATTGCAAAATTGGCTAAAATACGGTATCTTCCATGTTTCAGGAATCTTATTTCCTTTATATTGCTTGCTGTTAGTCAGCGCTGAGTGAGAAATGCGTTATCAAAGTTGAAGCATTTTTTTATTTCAAGGCAAGCTGTCCTAAGAAAGTGCTGGCAGCAAACCAGAAAGTCAGTTAAGACTTTGGGGAAATACCATGATCAAGTAGGTGGTGGCCTTTTGGCTCAGATCAAGTGGGGGCATCCGGATCCCAAGATCTCCCTGTTTGGCCTGTATGAAGGATTCCTGCCAATGGTTCTAGGAGTATCTGAAGTCCCAGGGTGAAAGGCTGGGATGGAGGATGCTTGCTGGTTGTAGCACCACACATGGCATCTAGAATGACTGAGTTCTGCCTGCTCAATCGGTACAGTTTTTGGAAAGATTGAGTATTGATCAGTCAATATGATTTGGACCTGATTTAGCTGATTTGACGTGGAATACAAAATATATTAATAAAAAACTAAAGACTCCCTGAGAGTGACTTGGGTTTTGCATGTGGTGCATCAATTAGTTGTCTCAGAAATGATCCTACATTTTGAACACTTTTACCATTATTGAGCATACATTGTACAAGGATTGAAATTATGGTACAAATACAACAATTATTGTATACTTGGCAACACTGGTCAGGTGTTTCTAACCAGGCAGAGTTGAGCGAATTTGCTTGCTTGGGTATTTCCCAGGCTTTGGGCCTGGCTGGTTGACCCCCCTTTCTGTGACATGTGTCGGGGTATTTTTAAGCCTTCCCTCAGAGGCATTGGGTGTTGGCTACAGCCAAGACAGGGGACTGTGACTGGGCTGTGCCAATGCTCCTGCTGGGACCAGAGGTTCCTGGCTAAGGGGTCTTGACCCTCTGTTCAGGGTTAGACCGACTGCCAGGTTTGGGACTGTGTGGGGTTTGTCTTCCTCTGTAGCCCTCAGCCCAGGATCTCTTGAGCATTTATAGACAACATTTCATAAAAGCAGGGCATTGGCTGCTGTGGTTCCCCTGCTTTACCTGTGGCAGGTTAAGGTGTTAGGTTTGTGTTGTGTCAGGGTTGACAGTAGTCTTATGTAGAGTTTAGGTTGGGGTGGGCAAAATGGTAGATTCGGTTGGCAGCCAGACTCCATTTCCTAGTTGCCTCACCCACATCACTGGTTTTTATGGAGGCCCCAGCAGTGGCTGCGCCGTGACGCTGTGGGGCCAGGGTTTCCAAGGAGACTGGCTCCGGCAGTGTTGGTGGGGCATGCGGCTGGGTATGGAGTGGCTCCACAGCCAGGGTTGGGATCTTGCAGCGGTGACAGCATGGTCCAGAGCTGGGGCAGAGCTGTGATCTGTTGCGTGCACACCCCTGCCTGGGCTGTGCAGGCAGTGGATCACGGCTCTGCCTTGGTTCTAGACCATGCTGTCACTGTCACAAGATCCCAGCCCCATTTCAGTTTCCTGCCCAGCCGCATGCGCCACCAGTGCTGCTGGGGCTGGCCTCTGGAAACCCTGACTGCGCTGTCAGAGTTCCTCTGCTGCTGGGGTCCCCAGGGAAACTGGCTACAGAAACGAGGGCAGGGGTTGCTAGGAAATTAAATCCACTGTGGGCTGGACTTTGCTTGCCTCTGGTTTAGATCATGGTTGTATGGGATGGGTTGGATAGGGCTGATCCTGCCTCAGGCACGGGTTGGACTAGATGACCTCTGGAGGTCCCTTCCAGCCCGACTTCTGGGATTCTATGACTTCATGGCTCGTCATCATCTCCCTGATTCCTGCTCCCGACTCTGCACACCACAGAAGTTAATGACCATATCCTTTAATGGTCTGAAGTCCCACTCTTTAAACTGTCCTTGCCTTTGCAATGTTACAGTCTGTTAGCCATCCCTGGAACGTCTCTTTTCTATTTCTCACCCTTGCAGGCTGTTTTTTAGCTCTAGCTAAAAATCTTAGCCCAGGTGTGGAAATGACAGGCAGCAAAGTTTTAGAGTGGCAGTCAAGATGCTCAAGATCAAGAAGACCAGCTTTTATTTTATGAACCCTAATGAGAGATGTGTTTAACTGTAATGATGACTGGACTAATGAAGCAATCTCTTTTGACTGTGTTTTGCCTTGTTTGTTATGCTTTAACATCACCTCACTGTCACATGTATTAAGCCCCCACATGTTTTAAAATGGCGTTGGGGGTGCTTTATCTAAATAAAGGCTTAGATAAAGGTTTAGAGGTTTATATAAAACCTCCCACTGCCTTTTTTTTTAAATGCGTGGAGCCTTAATGCATGTGATGGTGAGCTGTTTTAATTAGGGCGTCTGTCCAGGAACCACTCTGATTAAACCTATCCCTGACCCCAGCTGCTTATGCATAGGCAGGCAGTGAGGAGCCCAGCCAGGCAGCTTGGATAGCTGTGTACAGCTGGTAAGCCTGTTTTGGTGGAAGGAGAGGAGGGAAGAAGCATGGGGCGGGGCACAGATCAATGCCCCCTGCAGTGAGGGAGGGAATGGGGCTGGGGTCAGCACTGCTCAGCCAGGGTAGGGCGGGGCGGGGGTGCGGGGTGGAGCCGTGGCTTGTCCAAGGGGCATGGGGAGGAGGGGGATGGCTCCCACCATTGCGTACACCCCAGGAGCGCACGGGGGGTGCTGTTCCCCCCATCTGCATGGGGGGATGGGGCGGGATGGCACTTCAGGCTGGGACCAGGGCTGTGCCAGGCTCTTCCTGGTGTGCTCAAGGCTGCATTCAAGGCTGTGCTTGGGCCAGGTGGTGACAT